CGTGGCAGCGCCACCTCCGTCAGCCTCTGGGGACACAGCACCAGCCACCAACACGGACCCCGCCAGCAGCTAGTGCTTCTTGGAAGCTTCTGAAAACTGCCAAAATCCCAGTTCACTGGGGTCACTGAAGCTTTCCCCCCGCCTCCATAGCCCCACCTAAGGTAAGCCTTGCCCGGCCATGGCTCCCCACTTGCCGACACTTACCGTCCTCTCCGCCCAGCACCAGGACGACATCAGCCTGCTGCAGGGAAATCTCGTCCGCCTCTTTAGCCAGGTAGCCGCGGGTTATCTCCACTTGGCTCAGATCTGCAGAGGACAGCAGAGACCCGGTGAGAAGGCAGAGCTGGGAGTCGCAGCCTGGCACACGTGGCCCGCTCGGCGGTGCCCCCCGACCCACCGGGGCTCAGCAGCACTTCGTGCTCCGTCCCCCTCCTGTCCCTGCCCGGCGTCTCTCCTGCTGCCCCCTCCAAGCACATGGGGAGGGGAAACCCAAGCTGCTCTTACCGAAGCCTGAGGCATTCCGGGAATTTCATTGTGCCTCCTAGAACATGTATTTAAGGTTTATTGTGACTGATAACTTAATGGGAGGCAACGCCTAACGAGCAAGGTGTGGTACCCCGCGTTCTCCTCTCCGTGACACACCTCCTCAGCTCCTGCTCCAGCAGGAGCCGATACGGACAGGGTAGAAACCTGCAAATGCTCAGGCTCCAGCGCAACTGCTAATCCATGACCTCCAGCACGCCGGTACCTCCTTTAGGAGTGGTGTCAGGCTTTTCCTTTTCCCTGTGCATCAGCGCAGCAATCCACCGGGCCCGGTCGCTCCTGGCAGAGGGAAAGCCCAGATTACGAAGAAAGCCTTAGAGACAGCATCCGTGTTGCCCGCAGCGGCTGGGAAATTCCCAGCAGGACGAAGGCTTTCAGGGCAAGTCAGACTGGCCAAGCACTGGACCAGAGCAGCACTCAACGTAAAGATACTGCACAGGCGGCGCACCCCACCCAGCCGCTTTGCTTAATTCGGGCCAGGGAAGCATTAGGTGGGAATTATAAGGGAAATCTAAGACAGAGTGAGGGGAGAAGCCCACGGAGGTCGCCCTTTCTGGGAGGAGGAGCGGGGAGGGGAAGGGTGCTGTGCAGAAGCCTCAGGGGGATTTCCAGGGCACCGCTTTATCCCACGAGCAAGAACGTTCACCCTGTGAAACCCCGCGGCGCCACTCACAGCGTCTCCGCCGCCAGCACGATCTCCTCCCGCCTGCCCTCGCTGTCCTTCTCCATCACCACCCGCAGCAGGTGCCCGACGGCTGTGCCGCGGG